TGTACCATTTTACAGTCCCACCAGCAGTGTATGAGAGTCCCAATCTCTCCACAATCTTGCCAGCATTTGTTATTTTCTATCTTGTTGAAGCCTTTATAAAATTTTTTAGCTTCCAAATTAGGTCTCCCCATCCTCTCCATCCCCATTTCCCCAGGGATTTGGGCCATTGAGTGGCTGAGAATCTATACTGTATACCTGCCTTATGGAGATATCATGAGGAGAAAGAGAAATAACGTGTGCGGTGCTGAACAGGGCCAGGCTCCTAGTCAGACCACTTAGTTTTTGAATTCATTACTGCTTTGCCCCATCCCCTCCCTACAAGTAATTCTTGGTAGTTTCTGACTCCTTCCCCTACCCAGAAACTAACTGGCCAGCTTCCCCCTGAATGCCCCCTGGAGCCTGGTGAACGGCCACAGTTGGTCCGACGGCAGCCCCCTGCAGCCCGCACCTACCCTCCATCGCACCCCAACCCAGCACACCACTCCTTGTGCCCAGCTGAGGTAAGGGGACTTAGAGAGCAAGATGATATGAGGGGAGGGAACAGGTATAGAGGAGGAGCAGCCTGGAGGAAAACAAAGGCAGAGTAGGGGTTGAGTACAGGGCAGGGAGAGGCTAAGCTGAGAAGGAAAAGGGTTTAGGGAGGCGGGTTCTAAGAATAAGGGGTACAGTGGTCCCTAGGGGAAGGTAGAGCAGCAAGTCCTAAGATTGGCTAGCCCTGCCTTTAGGCATGATAAACCCCACCTCCAAGATTATGCTGGTCCTTAAGTCAGTCAGGATAGGCCTCCCACCCCAAGGAAGATGAACAGGCCTAGCCCCTAATCCAGATAGGGCCTGCCCCCACAGGGTGAATAAGCTCTACCCATCAAAGAATAGGCCCACCCCTGGTCAAGATAAGCTCCACCCCTAGGAAGAGCAGGCCCCATCTACAATCTAGATGGGCTGTGCCACGGATTGTCCCAGTCTTTGGCTATTTCCAACATTTGGTCCTGTCCCACCCCTTTTGGGTGGGCCCCACAGGAGCTGGCTCTTGAGGCCCTGGAGCGCGAGGTGTCAGTGCAGCAGCAGATTGCAGCAGCTGCCCACCGCCTGGCCCTGGCCCCTGAGCTGAGTGCTGAGCAGCGTCGGCGCCGGCGCCAGGTCCAGGCAGATGCACTGCGGAGGCTGCACGAGCTGGAGGCACAGCTCGGGGATGTGCGGGCCTGCCTTGGCCTCCCAGTGCTCCCATCACCCCAGCCACTGCCGCTGTCCACGGGGGCAGTTATCACCACCCAGGGAGTCTGCCTGGGCACACGCCTTGCTCAGCTAAGTCAAGGTGAGTTTGGTCCCGTCATCCCACCAGTGAAAGTGGGAGAGTGGGCTCAGTGAATGGATACTGGCTGATGGGCTTGTAGGGGTGGGATGGGTGAAAAGCCAATGAAGACAGGGAGGTAGGTAGAACTTAACGGGCCCAACAAGTAAGAAGACTTGAGATAAGTTGGCTCTTGGGAGGGGCGGGACCATTGAGAACTGGCTGGTAGGCATGAGGGAAGTAAGGAACCTGGTTTTGGACTGAGGTAAAAGTGCATTCTTGGCAGGGGAACAGGTTGGGGAGGAAACACGTTCAGAAGGTGGTGATAAGCAGAGCCCCTCCAATGGTGTAAGGGGATGGTACCCAGGCCTTGGATTGTTAGGCCCGGTTCTCCCCCTTCTCACCTGTAGAGGACGTAGTTCTGCACTCAGAGAGCAGCTCCCTTTCAGAGTCTGGGGCCAGCCATGATAATGGTGAGGACTCCTATCTCCCAGGCATGCCCCCAACCCCTTTCTATGTCCCATGGCCCATTCATTGATGCTCAGCCCCTTCTTACCTCTTCAGTTCCACCTGTTCCTCCTTAGCCACGCCCCATCTTCCTGCGAGGGGCTCCCATCTTAGCTTCATCCCATCCCTGCTTCCTCAGCTCTATTCCATACCTAGCAGCCCCTTCCCTCCCCTTGTTGCCCTGCCTCATCCTTTAGCTCCTCCTCAGCTGACTTAACCCTGTCCCAGATCTTTATACTTCCACTACTTACCTAGCCTCTACCTTTTGCTTGGTCCCCAAGCTGTCTTGCTCGCTGTGGACCCCCTGTCACTGACTTCTTCCCCCACTTTATTCCTTCTATTCAGAGGAGCCCCATGGCTGCTTTCCTCTGGCTGAGCGCCCTTCACCACCCAAGGCCTGGGACCAGCTGCGGGCAGTATCTGGGGGCAGCCCTGAGCGGCGAGCCCCATGGAAACTACCATCATCAGATCTTTATGGGGATCTGAAGAGCCGGCGGAACTCTGTGGCCAGCCCCACCAGGTGAGGGTGATCCCCTACCCTCCCTTCCCCATGAGTCAGGAATGGAATCCTGAGCTTGGGCTGACAAGAGGGCCTGCTGGTGGGTATGGTCTCTAATCTGGGCCCCAACTGGGCCTGCCTGTCTCTGTTTAGCCCCACACGCTCACTGCCCAGGAGTGCCTCAAGTTTTGAGGGGCGAAGTGTGCCTGCCACCCCTGTCCTCACCCGGGGCACTGGCCCCCAGCTCTGCAAGTAAGGGGACTCTGAGAATGGGTTTGAGGATCAGAGGAGGGAACCGTTAGTTTTAACTGGAGGTATTGGGGACAGCATTATCAAAAGGTGTGGGACATGGGAGGCAGGGCTTTGAAAGTTGAATAGGAGTTGTCCTGGTAGAGAAGAATGGGGTGGAGATTTAGAGCAGAAGCACTAAAGTTTGAGTATGGGATTTTCTGTGCATTTTGTACAAATATTTTTCCTTCTCTGAACTTTTGTCTCCTCATTTGTGAAATGGGCACAAGAATTTCTGCCTTTGAAAGACATTGTAGGCACAACAGTTAACGGTTGTTATGACCCACTATCTGCTAAGAAATCAGGGCTTTTACATGTGCCTAGTTTGTCTCGGGCGCTCTGGTGGCACTGTAGTTAAAGCATTGGGCTGCTAACCAGAAGATTGGTGGTTTGAACTCACCAGCCACTCTGTGGGAGAAAGATGTGACAATCTGCTTCCGTAAAGATTTACAGCCTTAGAAAGCCTATGGGGCACTTCTATTCTGCCCTATAGGGTTTCTATGAATTGGAATTGACTTGATGGCAGTGGGTTTGGTCTCTGTTATAGATTGTCTCAGGCAGTAAATAAACAAAGTCTCTGTCCTTTGGAGCTTACAGTCTGTGAATGGTAGCTGTTGGGAATGATAATTTTGGATGGTTCATACACATTGTGGAACAGAGTTCAGGAGGGCTCTTAAACTCCAGGCCTAATGATTAGGACTTCATTCTAGAGGCAGTAGGGAACCATGAGATGGGTCTCAACAGGGGATACAGCCGTCAAGTGTATTAGGAAGAGCCCTCTGTCAGGCCCCTCTTCTGCTAGCGTTTCCTCTCTAGCCCTCAGCCCCAGGACCACCCCTCCACCCACCATACATTTCTTACTCCCCTGTTTCATAGAACCTTTGCTGTCTGGTACCTGACACCTTCATACACAGTTTCTAATACTGGCCCATTTTGGAGATGTGGAAATGAAGGCTCAGAAAGAGATGAGCTAGGGAGAGCACTCAGCCTATCTGCTTAATTTTTTTTTCTGACGCTATTCCCATTGCCCCTGCCTCTGCATCCCCAGACCCGAAGGCCTCCATTCTCGTCAATGGTCTGGCAGCCAGGACTCCCAGATGGGCTTCCCCCGGGCAGACCCTGCCTCCGACCACACCTCCCTCTTCGCAGCTCGTACCCGCCGCAGCAACAGCTCTGAGGCCCTGCTCGTGGACCGGGCAGCTGGTGGGGGAGCTGGCTCCCTGCCTGCTCCTTTGCATCCCCCTGCTGCTGTTCCCCCGGTCTGTAAGAGTAGTGAGGTGCTGTATGAGCACCCCCAACCAGCTCCTGCCTTCTCCTCTCGTACAGCTGGCCCTCCAGACCCTCCCCGGGCTGCTCGGCCCAGCTCAGCTGCCCCAGCCTCCCGTGGGGCCCCCAGGCACCTACCTATGTGTGGGGACTTCCTCTTGGACTATTCACTGGAACGGGGCCTGCCCCGTGGTAGTGGCGGGGCAGGTTGGGGGGAGCTGCTACCTGCAGCTGAGGTCCCAGGACCCCTCTCCCGCCGGGATGGGCCCCTCACCATGCTCCCAGGCTCACCACCTGTGTATGCAGCTGACGGCAGCAGTCCCCTCCTCCGCAGCAAGGACCCTCATGCCCGTGCCACCCGCACCAAGCCCAGTGGCCTGCCCCTGGAGGCCTCTGAGGGTCCGGAGGTGCATCCAACCCCTCTGCTGTGGATGCCCCCACCCACCCGTATCCCCCTGGCTGGTGAGCGCAGCGGCCACAAGAACCTTGCATTGGAGGGGCTACGGGACTGGTACATCCGGAACTCGGGACTGGCTGCAGGGCCCCAACGCCGGTCTGTGTTTCCCCACATGGGCCCACCACACCAACCCTTCCTCCATGTCCGCTGCTATGAGGTGGGCCAGGCGCTGTACGGGACCCCCAGCCAGGCACCGCTCCCACACTCAAGGAGTTTCACAGCGCCCCCTGTCTCCAGCAGGTATGGGGGGTGCTTTTATTGATGGGTAGGGGTCTCTTGAGGCAGATGGCGAAGACATCCAGGCCAGGGAGCAGCTACTCGTAAGAGCTAATGACTTGGACCACAAGGAATCTAGCTGCAGCACCAGCCTAACTAGTTCACGTGCTGTTAATGTCCTGCATTAGTCCACAGGGTCCCAGTGAAGGGCTTTCTTGGGTGTTGGTAGCTGCATTTCTTTACCAAGCTGTATAATTTTAACGATTTAACAACCAGTGCATGTCAGCTGAAAATGAGCCTTGAAATCAGGGTGCTGGGAGGAAGGGGCATCCTGTCCCCTTCATCTTTCTCTTCCTCTGTTCTCCATGCCCCATGCTTGGGAACCCCAAAGTGCTCTGTCTCGTGCCTGCCTCCACCTCTTTAACGAGCCTCTTCCTCTTTCTCTGTGTCATGTCTGTCTTTTCCTCTCTTCATCTTCTTCAACCTATCCTCCGGATTCCTGCTACCCCTTCTAAAGATACTACGCGGACTTCCTGTACCCCCCGGAGCTGAGTACTCGTTTAAGTGACCTGACGTTAGAGGGGGAGCAATCCTCCAGTTCTGACCCCCAGACCCCAGGGACACTGGTCTGACCCCTTGATAGGCCCCTTGTTGACCTGGGCATGACTGCCACCTGGGGAGCACACAGCTGACCTCGCTGAACCCTGGGGTTTGTTTGCTCTCAGTCCTGGGTGCCAAGCTGACCTTTCAAGGCCCCTGACTCCCTGTGGACCTAGGAAGGTGTCTGACATCCTACTTTCACACTGTGCTGGCGGCTGGGAGGCCTCAGCTAGCTTAAAAGAGGAGGATGTTGTAATGGAGACTCTAAGCCCCTCCTCCATTTCTGTTTACAGTTGTGATTTAGATCTTCACTGTCTTCCCCTAACACTAGACGTTTTATAAAAGGGAAACTGTGATCTTGTCCTGATTGGCTTCATTCCTGCCCCCTGGTCCTTTCAGGAACCCCTTTAATGAAATGAACCATATAGGGTCTCAGGGCCCTGTTCTGGGCAGCAGGGAGACTCCAGTGTGAACAAAACTCCCTACCACCCACCACCAGAGCAGTCCTTGGGGATGGGGGGGGCTTATGTTCATTTTCCCACACCCAGGGGTACATGAAGGAGCCCCTAACTATGCCCACTGCCTCTGCCCACACAGGGTGAGATGGGAAAGCCTTTGGTAGTAGGCTTTGCTGACCATCCCCAACCAGGAGGCTCCTGAGGAGTGGGAAGGGCAGTCATAGGTTATGTTGTATGTGGGCAGGGGATGCTGTAGTGGTTGAACCTGGCATCTGGTAGATACCAGTGAAATCCTCTAGTGACCTCTGGCCACAGGCCACGTCACGTCTTCTTTGGCTTTCCTTCCACCCACTTTTTAAACAAATCCACACAAGCTGTGTTTTCTATGATACCTGTCTGTGACTTTCTGGAGCTGGGGCTCCTACTACCCCCTTTAGCTGGTGTTTAAACTTTTCTTTTTGTACCAACGGGTCTGGGCCCAAGACACTACCCACACTGGAAGGGGATTTCTATAATAAATGTGTAAACTGAATCCATGTGTTGCTCCTCTATCTGTTCTGCCTTGAGGGCTCATGCCTTTAATTGAGACCAGATAATATATTATTTTAAAATATTTTTACAGGGGAAAAAAATCTAACACTGCAGAAACGCCTATAACAACATGTTTTGGCTTTACATGCTTTGCGATTTGGAGCTTCTTTGCTTTTCTGCTCTCAGATTCCAAGCCAACCCCAAAGAAGAACCCTGAGTAATACAAAGGATGGTAAACATTTCATGCCTTAACTACTTCATGCTTTAATGCCTCTCCAGAGAGAACAGGTTTGAAGAAGGGCCTCAGAGATCATCCCTTCAACTCACGTATTTGATAAACAGACCCTGTCAGGAAGAGGTTTTAGTAGAATTAAAAAGCAGAAGGCCACTTCTGTCCATTGAAACACCCAAGGACTCTACCCAGGAGGCTAAAATATTGGCTTGAGAGATGCAACAGCCTTTATTGTTGCAGCAACACTGATATATATGCCCCATTCCAAGTAGGTGCCTACCCCTCCCCATCCCACCCCTTGGTCCTCACCACTGTGGAACTTTGGGGGAAGGGGCAGGGTTTCTAAGCAGAGCTGGAGGGATGTGAGTGGTGAGGGTTGGGGTTACTTGGGACCAAGGATTCAACAGGGTTAGGATGCCTGAGCTCTATACCCAGTGGGGGCTGGGAACACCTGGTTCTTGCTTCAGGATTTGGCAATGCCTTGACCTGGGTCCAGAGCTGAGGTAGGGTCTGGAAAAGCCTTGGTCCTGGGTTCAAGATTTGAGAATTCTGTAGTCCCAGATCTCAGCTTTGGGGCTGAGAACTGTAGAAGCGTGGGTTTCAGATTTGGATTGGGGGGATAAGTGCCTCTGGGTCTTGAGTTTCAGGTTGGCTGTGCATACTCCAGTCTCCAAGCCCCACTTTCGGTGGCTCTGGCTTGGCCCCAGGCTTAGGGTTAGAGGAGATTCTGGTCTCTCAGGGCTGGGTGTGGGCGATATCCCAGTTTTGGACCCAGGGACAGGATGCGGATATCCTGCTTTCTGGACTGGGCAGGGGCTACTATGTTAGCTGGCAAAGAACTCTGGGTCCCTGGTTCTGGCTGGGTTGTATATGGTGTTTTTCAGGTCCGGGGTGCAGATCCCCAAGCCCCTAGGATCCAGCCTCCTGCTCTTGTCCCAACGCCTCTAGTAGCAGCCCCATGGGCGTCCGCTTGAGACCAATGCTCTCCATGTTGTTCTCAAGCTTGTTTTTGAGGTTGCGCAGGCGCAGCGAGGCGTGCACAAGGATCACTGTGGGAGATACGAAGAGGAGTGGGATCAGTAATGGACAGGAGGGAATCAGCCTGCAGCCAATCGGGGCCCACAGAGGGGAATTGGGACACAGGCTGGCCAATGGAGTGGTGAGTGGACAGGCTGCCTCTGGCCCTGAAAAAGTAGCCCAGTAAGACGCGGGGGGTGGGGGCCGGAGGGCGGCGCATAGTAATGAAAAGAGGGAGCCCTGGAAGGCACTTTGTAACGGGGCGTGGGCAGAAGTCAAGGCAGGGTGGGCCTGGCGCCGTGCGCATGCGCTGGCCGCTTCCGGCATCTCCCAGGGTAGTGAAAACTCACCGAGTACAGGCCCCGCGATGCCGAGCAGGAAGGTGCAAGCGCCTCCCACGGCCCAGAGAACGAGGAAGCTGATGGCAAGCACAGCGGCCAGGCAGGCAGCAGGGTGGCTGCGTCGGAAACGGCGCATGGCTGGGCGGGTCTCAGCCGCCCACACAAGCACGCCCAGCGCCACCGCTACTACCAGTGCGCTTAGGAGGATATGCAGTGGGCGCCAGTATCTGCAGGGACAAGGGAAAGAAGCTAGACCGGCAGGCGGAGAGGGCCTTCCGGCCCACCATCCACCTGATCCTGGGTTCCCAAGAGCTTTGGTCCCCCTCTCCTGGCCCTCCAGCTCTCAAATACTCCCTCTACTCCCGTCTCCAACAGGTTCATCCTCCAAAACTTCCAATTCCCGGGACCCCTGGCTTCCCCCGTCTCCTCTGTGTCAATCCTACAGTCCCATTTTTCCCTTCAGGCCCTCCCATCTCGCTAAATCCCTGGGCTCCCAACCCTTCCTTGGTCTTTCTTTCGGACCCTACTCTCATAGGGCCCCTCTCCAGGCCCCCTCCCAAACTGCCCCTAAATTCCCCTTTTGGGCCTAGCTCCTGCAAATACCTCTTCCAAACGCCTTCTGTCCTCTCCCTTTCTAGGCCCACGGTCCTGATGGAACCCCCTTCCAAACCTTTCCCTTCAAACTCCCTCTCCAGGCTCCCATTTCCTATAGATTCTTCTTCCATCATCGTGCTTGAATCCCTTCCAGACCTTCAGCCCTACTCAGGACTTCCAACCTTGCCCAAGTCTTTCCTCCAAGTTATTCATTCCTCTCTAGTTTAGAGCTTCCAAACTTGGGTCCTTCCTTTGGATCAAAGTTCCCCTGCACATTCCAATCACATCCAGACTGCCCTCCAAGCCCAGAACCTCCAAAGGCCACCCTCCAAACCCTTCAAATTTCCATGTCCCTGTCCTTGCCCTAAGACCTCCAAACCAAATCCATTGCTGTCCAGTTGAATCCAACTCAGCGACCCTATAGGACAGAGTAGAACTGCCTCATAGTTTCCAAGGTTATAAATCTTTATGGAAGCAGACTGCCACATCACATCTTTCTCTTGTGGAGAGACTGGTGAGTTCAAACCACTGACTTTTTGGTTAGCAGCTAAGTGCTTAACCACTGTGCCACCAGGGCTCCTAAGTCCTCCAGGGGCTGCCTTAATCAAGCACTTATTATTATTCAAAGACACCAAACCTCCCACCCCCGCCGTCACTCACCTATCCTTTCAGGCCCTCCTTATACTCAGGTCCCCCTCCCAGCCCTCTATTCCCTTCAGTTCCACGCTTTCTCCATCCTCCCCAAGTTGACCCTTTAGATCCTCCATCTTCCTTAAGTCCTCTTTACCCAGGCTCCATCCTCCTCCAAACTAAAACCTCCTGTGTATGTCAGAGTAGAACTGTGCTCCACAGGATTTTCAATGGCTGATTTTATAGAATTAGACCACCAGGCCTTTCTTCCTAGGTGCCTCTGGGTGGGCTCAAACTTACAACCCTTTGGTTAGTAGCCATGCCCATTAATTTCACATCACCCAGGCACTCCCCAGTCCCCAGGGCACACCTTAACCAGGCTCTATCCCTGCCCCCACAAGACCTCCTTAATCAGGTTCCATCTCAAGTGTCCCATTCCACTGACCTCAGGTTTCCTCTTCAGGTCTTCAGTCTCTACTGAATTTGCCCTCCTAGGCCTTGCATCCCTCTCAAGGCACCCTCGTTCTAGTCCTCAATGACCCTCGGGCCCACCCTCCATGCCCTGCAGGCATCTCTGGCCAACTGATAGCTACTCGCACTTCCCTCACTCACCCAGCCAGGGCAAGACCGATGCCCAAGCAGATTAAGTAGTTGGTTTGGTAATAGAGGAGGTTGTTGATGACGCGGTGGCACCATCGCTGTGGGTCGCCTAGATCAGGGGCCGCTAGACGTGCCGAGCCTAGAACGAAGTCGTCTAGAGCGCGTAGCGGTGGCAGCCGCACCTCCGACATCCTGCAGCTCGCTGTTGCTGGACCAGCCAGATGGGCGGGCGGACTACAACACCCAGTACACCCTGCGCCACCGCGAAGGACACTGGGAGATAGAATCTTGGCTTGGCCGAGGCTACCCCTACTGCGCTGGGATGGGAACCCACGTGACCAGAAACGCAAATAACACGCAGAGCAGTAAGGCAGCAGAGACCGCCGGGAAATCAAGCCTCCATCACAAGGCGAGAAACTCCCACCCTTTCCAGTCCCCACCCACCCCTAGGCAGGGCACCGCGGGCGGGCGGGCGTGTGTGTGTGTTTGGGGGGGCGGCGGGGGGCTGTTTCTCCAGGCGGTGCTGGCGGCAGCTCAACCTCGCGGTAGACAGACAAACAAACTAGAGAGACAAGACTGCCAGGATTGCCAGGAAACTAGCTTGATCCCACTTCCTGTCAGGATCCAAGAGGCTCAAACCTCTCCTGGGAACGCCTTCAGGGCCCTTTCAGCACCTGCGCCTCCTGGCCCCACCTCAGAGATCCAGCCAAATGCAATTAAACCAAAAACCAAATTCACTGCCATGAAGTGGATTCTGACTCATAGCTACCTCCTCTTTGGTTTTCCAAGCTGGTATCTCTGGCCCAGTCTTCGTTCTAAGGAGTGGCTGGCGGGTTTGAACCACCACGCTTCTGGTTAGCAGTCAAATATCTTAGGCACTATGCCACCAGAGCTCCTTTAAGTGCCATTAGGAGCTCCTTATTTTTGCAGGAGCCCTGGTGGCACAGTGATCAAAGCGCTCAGTTGAGAGGTCAGTTTGAATCACCAGCTGCTCTGCAGGAAAAAGTTGAAACAGTCTCCTTCCATAAAGATTTACAGCCTTGGAAACCCTATGGGGCAGTTCTACTTGGTCCTTCAGGGTCAATGGCAGTGTTTGTTTCTTTACATTCATCACATTAGAGACCATCTCTTTCCCAGAGGTTTTTAATCCCCTCAGATTGTGTCAGAACACTCCCTCTGAGTCCCTGGAGGTCTCCTCCAGGCTAGAAGCCTGGGGGAATAGGTTGCCTACCTGGATCCCTGGCCTGACCCTGCAGACATGCAGTCAGGAAGAAGTGCTTGGGGACCCGAGTGAGCTGTTTATTCAGATGTAGCTCTACTGCGTGAAAAGTGAGCACCCCCTTAATGTTTGCCAGCTGTGGCTTCCACAGCACCCCTTGCCAAAGGTTCAGCTCTGCCACCTGCCAGTGCAGGTCCCTCGTACAGTCCACAGGGTCCTCAAAAATCATCATCATCACAGATGTCAAGGTACACGTCGAAAGCTTCCCTGTTGCAGTTTCCATCAGGAGTGAAGACATACTTGTGGAAGGTTCCATCTACACAGATGGCTGGAAGAGGGGAAGAGGAGCAGTAAAATGTTAAGCCACAGTCACATACTCCAATCCTCTCAGGGGTCCCATGGGCTGGGGTCTACCTCCAGGCCTTTGCCCATGGGCCAACCCCCTAATTGATGATGGAGTTCAGTCACACATTCCAGCCCCCTTAGGCTTCCCATGGCCCTTGAATTCTTTCAGGTCTGACTCCAGCCTTTGCCCATGCAGTACCCCCCCCCCCAAGATGCTAATTCCACTCACCAATGACAGAGTTGACATTCTTAGAAGTATTACGACCGAAGGCACAGATGCAAGCAGACTCAGCGGGCACGGTGAAGCTTGCAAGGCTCCATTGAGAGTCCACATACTGTCCAATCATAGGCCCCACCTTGCCCACACGAGCCAGCCTGCAGGCAGCACTGGCTAAGCCCAGGTGTGGTACACAGGGAAGAGGGGAACAAGGCAGGGAGGGGCAGAGTGTACTCACGCTGAGCGGCGGTTGAGGCGGGTGTCCTTGAGAGCAAAGATATGGACAGTGCCCTTATCACTGGAGGCGCAGAGGAAGGAGGAGTCATGGCTGAAGTTAATGCTGGAAGATGGATCAGCACAGTGATACTCATATGGCATGTGATATGGGGTCACCAACCCACCATGCACACTCTGTGCTCACCAGTAAAGGGTGGCAGGGTCAGTGCCTCGACGCAGTTCCACCAGTTTTTCCTTGGACTGTGTGTCAAAAAGGCGAATAAGCGTGCCCTTCTGGGAGGCCGAGGCCACTACAGTGCCTGGCTGGTTCAGGGACACACAGGCCACATCACTTTGATGTGCATTGATGGTAAACGGAGCAGATGAAGTGCCAGGCTTTGTGCTTGCCAGGTCCTGGGTTAAGAGACAGCAATTGGGCACTGGGGTAGTGGGGAGGGGAGAGATAAGAGTCCATAAGGAGAGCCAGCGCGCCCACCTACCCACCCTTGCCTGCTGGATAGCTCACCACAAGCTGCAGACTGCCACACTTGTGTCCAGGGAACACTACTAGTTGTTTCTCCAGGCTGGGGCAGAGGTCACAGAGCCCTAGGGAGTAAGGATGAAGAGATACAGGGTGGATTGGTAAAGTGGAGGCAGGGAGTTGGGCAGTGGGCCACACAGGGTTTCAGAATGGGCAGAAATGGACAGACTGCCAGACATGCTATATGTTATATATGGAACCCTCAAGGGCTGTGCCCCCATCAGCTAGGCAGATCCTCTTCCTTCTCATGCAGCTGTGGGTTCAACTAAGCTGCCATAAAGCCCCAGGAGGCCCAGGATCTGATAGCCCCATCCATGTCTTCACCAGGTATGTTCTGCCACCCGAGGCACCCAGGAGAGGGGGGCAGGGGTGAGAGTAGGGAGAGAGAACACTGGCTGAGGGATAGGAAGACTGGGGGTATGAGTATTTCTCATCTCTCTGCCCAAAGACTCTCCCCGCCTGACTCTCCTTCCCAGTTTGCGTGTGTCCCTTCCTTTCCTTCTTCATCTCAGTCCCTCTGCCCATCCACTACCACCCATCCTTGCACCTGAAAATCTAGGTCCTCTCACCCTTGGGGTTGTCCCGGGTGTCAAACTCAAACAGCTTTCGAGGACTGTCAGGGAAGGAGTACACGTAGATGCGGTTCCTCAACACAATCACAATCCTGGGGGCATCACACAACATGAGATGGCCATGAGGGGAGGGCAAGTTGTCCAGGATCATCTAACCCTCTCACCTACTGTGGGGACCTCTTTCCTCCCTGCCCCACCCATCCTCCCCCCAGGCTCACTTGTCATGACGCATACGCACGGCCAACACTGGTTTGGTGAAGGTGAACTCCAGCACCAGCTTATCCTTGGAGTCCTTGCCTTCCCGCGCATCATCCCAGATCAGCACTGCCAGGCAGGTTTCAGGGGCCAAGGTTTAGGATGAGGGGCAGCCCTGGTGACATAGGATCCACCCCTACTCCCCAAGGAACCTCAACCCACTTGCTTAACCTTTCACTAAACACCCAATATAAACCTCACACAGATAAGCACTGTGGGCATGATCCCTGGGAGAATCAGTTCTAGAACAGTTTGCACATGAGGAAATTGAGGCTCCAGGAGGTTTGAGTGGCTGGCCAAAAATCTCACAGCCCATCAGCAACCAAGTAAGGACTCAGACACAGGCCTGTAACTTTCCTTCCTTAACAGAAGTCTGCAAGGTCCCAGTCTATAGCCTCAGGAGATTTCTGTGAGGCATCTAAGGGTTATGTGACTCACCTAGGGCAACTCTTGCCATGTCCAGGTGGGATTAACAAGAAAAACCCTTAAAACAAGATGGTGCTTGAGGGTCAAGACAAGGGAATGTTAGGGCAATGGCTCCAAGATTTTAAAACCTATTACTTATGTGACCTTGGACAAGTCATTTAACCCCTCTGGCTCTTAGTTTCCTTATCTGTAAAAATGAAGGTAATGATACTTCCTACCATATGGGATTACTACTGAGAAGATCAAGTGAGTTGATACACAAAGTGCTTAGAACAGTACTAGGCTCACAGTAAGAACTATATAGGTACAGATATGGCATACAGTAGGCACTCTATTTAGACTGCTAAATAAAAACAAAACACCAAGACTCTTGAGCTGCACTCTTCCCTCTGTGACTCTGGGGTGCTCTGACACTGTCACCTACCAGTGCCTCAGGATGCCTGTGGGAAGCCAGGAGTCTGGGGAATCTGGACCAAGGTTGGAATGAAAGCACTTACCTGAGATCTCTGAGAACTTGGGACTGCTACCACCACCCACCAGGGCCAGGAGGTTGGAGCGGTGCAGCATCTCCACCAGGCCCATGCTGCCCACCTGCTCATGGTCTGGAAAGGGACCAGGGTGTCAGTAGGGGTGGGAGCCAATGCCCAGCCCAATCTCTCTTTTTTTAAAAAAAAAAATTATTTTTATTGTGCTTTAGGTGCAAATTTACAGTGCAGAGCTTTACATTCAACATTCCGTGTACATTTGGTTTCACTCCCCAACTACCATCCCCAATCCTAACCCACTCTCTTCCTCTTCCTTCTCAGTAATGCCCCCCCATGCCCCTCATAGTTATGCACTCCTGTTTGTCCTGCATTTCCTCCATGTGAATGTTGCCCCTCTGGTGCCCTGTGGTCGATTGCTCCAAGGGATGCATCTCCACAGAGTATGTGGGTGAGTCACCCTGGGTTGAGTGGTCTCCATGTACAACTTATTTACTACTGTGCTAAGAACC